GCTGTTCTTTTCCTTGCCGAGGGCATCGCGCATCTCGGCGAGGCGTCTCCATGGTCAGCCGTTCGGCACAGCGATGAACGTGGCCTGGCTAATGGTCACGGTTGCGCCGAGCATCGCGTCTCGGCGCACGCTCTTCGCTGGACGGGCTGGCCATTCCCCGCATTGAGCATCGCGTCTCCGATGCGGGTTGACTTCTCCGTAGTCGCACCCATGCCATCAAGCGCCGGTGTCACCAGAGCGTCGCACATCGGCAAGTGACGAGAGAGACGTTCTGCCGGGCGAGACACGGGCGTGTGTACGGAGGGTTGAGGCCACGAAGGCGGATGAAGCGGTGCGCCGCTCGAGAGGACGAGTTCCTGGCAGCGTTCCTGGGCCGGACGTGGGACCCGTACGTGTCGGGCAGGTCGAGCTCCGGTGTGTCTGTTCGGGGTCGAGTCCGTCGGCCTGTACAAGGTCCAAGGACGGGGCCTGCTGAACGGCTCCTGCCTGGGTGCAGTGGCCGGGAGCAGGTTCGTGGGCGAGGCCTACCGGCTGTGGTCCTCGTTAGCCGTGGCCTGATCCTGGACCTCAGGAGTTGCGACCCTGACTTTTGGGTTGGCCGCGACGTCCGACTCGACGGCGCTGCACACGGTAGCGCATCCGTGTGCCGTCAGCCGTTCCAGCCGTGCCACCTTTGCCCTCGCGCACGTCGACGACCGCATCATGTCGGGACGACGGGGACCCAAACTGTGAGACAGCGGTTTCTTCTTACGAACCGAGAACTATACGCGCTGGACACTGAGTTAGCGTAGCCGCGAACTCTGCGCATATTAATGGCGGTCTGACTCTCGTGCATGTTGCGTGATGCTTGGCGTATAGGATTGGACATATAGTTTTATTTTCTCCTGTCACTTCCTTCTCTAGTGTACAATATAAAGCTTCTTTTGTTCGCTTAAATTGTTCATGTTAATCCTTTCTCATTCGCTATAAACAAACATAGTGACGAACGTCCTTAACCATCACACCCTATAACGAACTAGGTGCTGGAATTCGTTAGAGGCAAATTCGGCTATATCGAATACCAAACGAACTCTGGAAAATCGCACCGTTTGTTACAACTAGCCGAGAGTGCAGAGCACAGACGCATCTGCTTACGTGCTATCGTAATGAATTTGGGCAACGCGAAAAAGCTCGATTGCGGGGATTTTGTGCGTGTGTGTGGTGATTCTGCTGGCGACCACTATACACGGGATCCCCCCCTCCCCCCCCAAAAAACTAATTTGCAGTCTGAATAAGACTTGAGACGCTGCATTTCAAAGCTTGCGGATGTGTCAGCAGACAATGGTGGTGTCGAGTGAACGTGTATTGAATGAAATATTTTTTCATATGCATTTCCCGCCTGCAGTCAACAGCAGGCGTGCCCTGAGACGCGCGCATCATTTTCCACTGAGTTGGAGTTGCGTGCGTCACGTGCTGACACATGATCGTCTCCCTGCTATGGTGTGTCCTATCGCAGTGCTTCTCAAATGGGGGTCCGCGAAGCCATTGTTAGGGGTCCGCTAAACTCAAACTTAAACAAAAAGCGAGTTCTCTGTAGGCACTCGTAGTGTGTCGCATAACTGATCGCATTGCGGAGGAGCTGATTTATGCTGCCCATTCTCCGTGGAATGGCTGTTATGCTTTCCTTGCAGTTTTCTACGACATGAACACGCTCGGTTATTCCAGCGACGCAGGCGGCGCAATGTAGCCGTGCTCCTAAGCTGCCACACGGTGATTAACTGCAACGCAGTTCGGCCTCTCAGTAGTCATGAACCAATGAACGCGTCTTCACACCATGCGACACTGACGTGCACGCTCGCGACATCACAGTCTCGTACGCCAGTTCGGCCTACCGCTGTGCCACCTATAGTCGCAGGAATGATCGACGTATCTGAAGAGCGAGCAAAGCTGTAAATAGGTGTAATGTGCCTGAAAAAGTAACAACTTTATGACAAGCTGTTGAGATAACTACGGTGGCACTTTAGTTTGAACATTCATGGCGAGAGAGAAATAAATGGCATCTATTTCACGCTGCCTGTTGCCATATCTAAGCCCCCCCCCCCCCCCCCTTCTCCCTTTGTTTTACTGCAAGGGTTCTTTCATTACTGGTACAGTTTCCGACCAGGTCGAAAAACGGAACGGGAGACGAGAAACGGAACGGTCGTAGCGTGGATAGGTCTTTCTCCACTACTCGATACACCATACATCATGCAAGGCACCTAAAGTTTCGATGCACCGAGCAGTTTGAAGGACCAACTGCCGGTAGGCTATTTTTTAATGTAGCTGCTGTTGTAAAGGAACTGAAACTCAATTGCTAGAGGTAGAAAAGAGTAGCCATTTTCTAGGGTCAAATGTGTAGCCAAACAGAAGAAAAGCGATATTATAGAGTTATAGTAATTTTGAATGAACAAAATGTATAAATAACATTCAAACATTTTTTTCTCTTGCTTGGTTTTCAAGCCACCGGTAAGTAGCAGTTAAACTGATATCAATTATAAATTCAGTCTGCATTCACAGTTTGTCCAAAACAGATAGAGTTCTTGAATTTTGGGCCAACTCAGTAAAAGCATTAAATGTTGAAGCTCACTCTCCTTGAACCCAGACTTAGTGTGCGACTGTATATGTAAATGGATTAGTATACCGAGTGTTACTAAAAATTGTTGTCCCAAATTTCCAAAAACCAGGCAAATGTAACAGTCGTTCATTGCCTCCACAAGTGTTCGATGCTTTTATACATTTGTCTACATGCATGGGCCACTCTTCGTAACACTGTGCTTGCACGAGCGCCACGCGTGTTGGTGCCTCTATGCACACCAGCCCGCTGGCAGAAAGACATCCACGCACATTGGCCAATACGACAAGAAAGCATTGAAACAATGGTCATTTCAAGCAGTAACAGTCCAGCCCGTTTAGGATTTCGACCTGGGACAACAAAAAAGCTCTTTTGGAGCTTCACGAAATTTGTGACCATTTGGAGCAGTAAAACAGTAAGTATAACTTGTTAATGTAAATTAACACTTATGAAAAACATATTTTACACTAAAAATATTGACGGACCACTGCTGGTTTCTAAACCTTATGAGGACGAAAATACCAAATTTCAGAACTTTATGCCTCAATGGACAGCAAACAGTTATTCTTACATGGGAACCTTTACCATTACATTTCTTGTTGAAACGAATAAAATTTTTGAAATGCACCACTGACAATGGGGAACGAGGAAGCAATAATACGACCAAATGATAAGATAGCCACCAATAAGGGCGATCTTGTAATGATAAAATTGCAATAAAAATTGTAATGATAAAACTTACCGTATTAGTACTGTTCATGTTTTCAATAGAGATATTAAGTGAATTTTTTTATTAGAGCACTACTTGGCGGGAATCATGTTTCAATGCCGATAAAAATGACAATTTTTCGAAATTCATAATTTTTATCTCGTGAGGTTTAGAAAGTTGAGAAAGCTCAAAATATTTTCAATGCAAAGTATACCTCTCGTAGAGTGAGTGTTTCGATATTCGTAGAAGGTACAATACTACTTGGGGAAAAACTCGTACAGCGTTTAGGTGAAATTTCTGGAGGTGCATATATGGTTGAAAAATTGTAGTAATAATACTGAGACTCCTCACACAAACATCTGTTTAGTATTGTGGGGTCTCGAGGTGCTAATCGCCACCACGCTCTTGGATTGAACGGACACAGCTGACGCGGTCGGTACAAACCAAACATATTTATTTAACTGCTTTAGAACGACGATATCGCCAGCCGAATAATTATAACACCAATCGTGATAAACCCGCTAAGACATCCTTACACGACATTACTATACACTCCAAAACATCACAAACACAATAACACACCCGGCGGCGTCGCCAACGCTTGATATACCACAAGGGCCCCCGACGCACAAACCGCGGTACCACGCACCGGGGACCCACGCTTGAGACAACGTTCGCGGCAACCGCCACGCGCAGAAGAGAGCAGCTTATTTCTCGCTCGCCGCTACCAACTCTTGTCGCCAGCGGCGCTACACCATGATGATGATGATAGTGGTGATCACTGCTCGCGAACGCAACGCCACCTATCGCTCAATAGTTGTCATCCTTGAAATACATCTTCTGTGCGAGACACGGGCGCCACACACCGCAAACAACTTTACATGGGATGTCAGCACCTCCACAGTATATAAACCAAATTGGGTATTGAAATGAGAAACGATACTCTTGAAATAAACCATCTAACAAGCAGCACTCGGACAACAGAAGGCTCCCAGGTGACAGAAGAATTTTTTCGCTACCAAATATTCTAGCCATTCACTGTTCCCAATGCAATCAGTCAGCCCGATTTGTTTTTAAAACATCTCAAATGGTCACCAAAATGGCTGGGCCATTTAGTGTAGGATGATCCTTTTGAAAATATTTATATTACCAGATATTCTAAGCCTAGACTGCAGTTTCACAGCGCACACAAACACACACACAAAATGTACGCGGAATCAGGACTACATGAACAGGACAGGGATATGCGGACAAGCCGACAGGATAATTACAGAATCACAAATGCTATACAGTGCAGACCACTTATGACGTAACCGCTTTTTGCGCGGGACCGGTTATAACGTGGGTTTTTTTTACCACCGATATGTCGCCCATAGAACTCACCGACCGTTTATTGCGTAGGCGCGCGAAGGAGAATACCGGTTATAGCGCGGAGTTTTTAGGAGCGCGACCATAAAATCGGCGAACGGAGCACGGTCGGCACGGTTTCCCGGCGGCGTTCCCAGCGCGCCGGAACGTTGGGAGTGTGAGAGGGAGGGCGCACGTGGAGACCACCGCGAAAAGTCAAACATTGCGGAGGAGAAGAGAGGGTACAGTAGGGGGGGAGTCGGGAGACCTTGGAAGGAGGGAGCGTGTTTTCGTCACCGTGGCAGCGTCCAATCCTGGTGCGCGCTGCGCGGAGTGGGGGAGAGAAGCGGTATCATGCTTTTTTTTCGCAACCTCCTTCTTTTGCGTATACGTGCGTCAAAATACGAAGACGTGGACGCAGCGCTGTTCAGGTGGTTCCGCGAAGTTAGGGCTCAGAGCATCCCAGAAAGTGGCCCCGTGCTCCAACAAAAGGCCAAGTGTCTCGGAGCTCTTTTAGGCCACGACGACTTCAATCCACTCAACGGGTGGATCCAGCGTTTCAAAGATCGCCCTGGCATCAGCTGCAAAGCGGTGTGCGGAGAAAGCGGCGCTGTCGACGACGAGTCTATCGAAGTCTGGCTTCACTTGAACTTGGAGAGTATGCTGTCGACCTATACTGACAGAGACATTTATAATGCCGATGAAGCTGGTTTATTTTATAACTTTTTGCCCAACCGCACGCTTGTGCTGAAAGGCGAAGCCTGCTCCGGCCGCAAGGTATCAAAGGAGCGCATAACTGTATTGTTTTGCGCCAATTTTGATGGGAGCGACAAGCGCCGCCTCTTTGTCATAGGTAAATCGGCAAGGCCATGTTGCTTTAAAATGCGAGAGTGCCTGCCAGTGACCTACAAAGCCAATAAAAAGGCGTGGATGACGCAGGATTTGCTCACCAGCTGGCTTTGCAAGTTTGATGAGGATATGGTGGCAGAGAAGCGGTGGGTCGTGCTTATCCTCGACAACTGCACGGCCCACAACGTCAAGCCGAAGTTGACCACAGTCAACCTAAAGTTTTTGCCTGCCAGCACTACAGCAAAAAATCAACCTCTCGACCAGAGTGTCATCGCAACCGTAAAGGCGCTGTACAAAAAGCGCATTTGCGAGAGAGTTTTGCTGAGCATGCAGCAGCAGCAGCCTCTTAAAGTGAACTTAAGAGGCGCAATTGACATGGTGGTCGCTTCATGGTGGCAGGTAAAGGCCGATACCATAAGCAAGTGTTTCAAGAGAGCAGGCTTCGTGCGCAATGCAGAGGCTCTGGAAGACGATGAGCAGAGCGACACGTCACGCGCCGATGAGACCCTCAACACTGACGACGTGTGGTCCTGCCTCGTTGACAGCAACTTTGTAACCGCCACCGACACTTTCCAAGAATTTGTCGATGCCGGGGAGTCGGAGCTTTCTGTCTGCGAGGAAGCGAGCACAGATGACGCGATCGTCGCAGCGGTGCGCGGTAGTGCGGAGGTTGCAACGGACGACGAGTCGGACAGCGAAGAGGATGTCGACCCGACGCCAGAACCAGATTTCCCGTGCAAAGACGCATTGGAATACCTCGCTAAAGTGAAAACGTACTGCGCGAAAAACAGTTTGAGCGAGAAATCGCTTCAGTGCTTAAGCTTTGTGGAGGACGAAATTGTTCGCAGCGCTGTTCGCAAGCATTGCCAGACGAAAATAACGGCGTTCTTCCGCTGATGCCTGACTTGAGAACTTTGTTTCCGTGCGGTGTTGTGATTGTGTTGAATGTGTCTGCGAGTGAAAAGTGTAGTAAATTGCTTTTGAAAGGTGGGTTGCCCTTTTGACATAGGCAAAGGCCGAAAAAAGCAGGCTTTGGTTATAACGCGGTACCGCTTATAGCGCGGATGTTTACAACTCCCGTGAGTTACGTTATAAGCGGTCTACACTGTAATTATAGCTTTACGTATGTGTGGGCTAAATTCAATAGAACAAGCTTAGGCATTTTCTCTGTGCAATGGCTCCACCATTTCGTAAAAACGTAATCACAAAAGCGTACATCAAACAATTGTTTTTTTTTTTTTACAGCGAAAGCTACATAAGGTTTGGAGAAAGGAAAAACTGTTCCGCATCGGTGCTACGAGTGGTCTCAAATGGCTAAGCTTTTCGTTACATTGTTCTCAGCAATGTACCCAAGCATGCGTGGCACTGGTATAGTGTACTAGAATATGGGCCATATTCTAGTACACTATAGCACTGGCTGCGGAGCGAGTGACGTCATCCATCCAGTCGCAGCTGTGGCGCCGAGAACATGCACATCAGTTTTACTGAAACCGCTCACATTGGTAAACTACGGGCAACTTCAGAAGAGTGCCGTCAGTGAAAGAGCTCGCATTTGCCGGACCGATGGTGCAGTACGGGCACAAAAGGCCTGGGAGGCCGGCAGCCACTGCGTACCGATGATCCAGCAACCTTCCAAGACGCGCTAAACTGCAAACTAGAATGCAAACGCCGGTGGCGGGCGGATCATGCAAACCGCACCACCGAGTTAACTCGCGATTTCAAATGCTCGTCATGGCACAACAGCATCAACGTGATGACTGCGGTAGCGCGTTCAAATGCCTGCTTTCAGCGGGAGTTTCTCCAGCAACACTTTTGCTTCCGCTGCAACGTCCGTGAGCGCCTCCGGTTGGGAACAACCACTGTTATTGACGCATAGAGAAATGCATTTAACGGCTCATTACACTCCTCCATGACAGTGGTCATACGAGGCACAATGTGCGGCATGTGAAATACACACTGTGGTAAACCCTAGCCAAACGTCTGTAACCTCTAAGCACGAACATGCAACCAATAATTGTGAAAGACTTCAGAGGAGTGTTGGGTTGAACCCACAGCTAAACACCGGGGCTGTACGTTTCAACTTTCGCTGGTTAACCATTTGTACAAAGTGCTTAGGGGGTGATTTTTTGAATGCAGCTCAAGGTGTCACAGCACTGCCAAATGGTAGGGCAAGGAGGTAGTCACAAATTTAATGAAGTGCACGTTGCAGGGTAATTGGAGGGTGAATAGTACACGGAACGCCAAAGGTTTCAACATACTGCCGGTATATAGTATACTCAAACCTCGTTATAACGAAGTTGAAGGGGAGCCACAATTACTTCCTTATATCGATTATAACAGTTTGTGGCAATGTATGCTTAGATGGGCGCACACCTATAATCATGCAAAGAAGGAAACCGCCTGAGGTACCGTCAAAGCTATGTGTATTCCAATGAGCGAAAACGCCCTGTGATTCGAACGCGCAAGCACTTGCGACGGTTGATTCGAACATACCGCGCTCCGCAAGTGCTCTCAGCATCATGCCCAATCCCGCGGCGGCACCTCTCAACGCTGCGCGCGAAGAAGGAAAAGAGAAAGAAAAGAGTGTCGCGGATTGCTTGCTCTCTCTCAAATGACATCTGCGACGCGCCTGTACCACGCTTCTCCCTTTCTCGTCTTTACACGTAGAGCCCCTTCTCCTTTCAAGGCCGCGGGCAGAGAGAAAGAGAGAGAGAAAAAAGAAAGGTGTCGCTGAGAGTCACGGAGGAAGGAAACGTGCGGAGAGCCGGAGAGCCCTCCTTTCTCGGTGCAGAGCACGGAGGAAGGAAAAAGGTGGTGCAGAGGGTAGCAGCCATGGTAGAAGCGGAGACGCAGCCGTTGCCGTCTTGAGAGCAGGCACTGCGCCGTGCTCCCGACCGGGTTGCAGAAATTAGGTGCCTTTTCTCATCTTCTAACCACTACCACCACCGTCTTGAGAAGGAAATCGCTTTTCACCGCGGCGCTGCTTCTCGGTCATGTGACCGGCTGAGCGCTTCCTCAATCCCCTCCACTGGCTGTGTGAGGACGGCTCTCTCGGCCGCGCGGGGCGTGACTGTAAGGTCGGCGCGGAATTTTTGAAAGAGTCGCGCCTAACGAGCGTCAAACTCCGCAGAAAACGATATACTTAACACACTACGGTCGGTTTTTTTTGATAGACTATTTGATAGACTAATCTAGTTCGTTATATTCATTTACCGGTCAATTTTACTTCGTTACAATGAGGTTTAAAATGCATGGTTCTCAAGAGCTTTCAAGAATTATTTACTCCGTTATAAATATTACTTCATTATATCCCATTACGTTATAATGAGGTTTGAGTATAATGCGTCCCGTCTGTCACACATACACTTAAAACACCTGCTTGGGAACAGATGCTTTGTTTCATAACGCTAAACAGCCAGCTGCAGTCCCAAATGAGAGATGGCATTAGAAGTGCCAAAGACTGCAATAATGAGACCCACAATTTTTCTACAAAAAAGATGAAATGTTTCCCTCAACAATGCAGCCTATATGTCTGCCAGAGAAGTTGATTATGACCCATGATGGTTTCGGGGTGTGCAAACCTGCTTTATGGCATACTGGTATAGCATAGCATACTATATATAGCATAGCTATGACAGAGCTCACTGGTTTGAAAGGTCAAACAAATAAATAAGCAGCAAAGCACAATAACTGGAAGTCACATATACTCAACTTCTGCTATCAGCTAGCTTTGTATGAGCAGTGCTCAGAAAGCTATGTGCGAGAAAATGGACAACTATTAACCGATACAATTGTTTTTTTTTTATTTTCTCATCAATTATAGAGGTAAACTGCAAACAAAGTCTTGAGATCATTCTTGCCACTTCACATTTTTCACTAGCAGAGTTTCTCCTTTATGAAGTCATGCTCTAGGGCATCATCAGCTGTGATTCGAGTTGAAGGGTCGGGGTCAAGCAGCTTGTAGAGCAGGTCATAGGCAGAGTCTGGCACATGATGCCATGATTCATGGTATCTGGGGGGCACCTCTTCGAAACCATTGTCTGTCTCCTCAAATTTGACACGGGTGCCTCGTAGTCTTTCACATAAACATTTTAGATCTAGCGCTGGCTTTTCATGGCTAATGGTAAGCAGTTTTCCTGGAAACAACAAAAACCAGGTGATCAGGTATTGCATGCGGGAAAAAAGTACTTCTGGCCTCACATACTTTGACACTTGACAAATGCCACACGGCTTATCTAATACCTTCCTGAGCTATTGAATATTTAGCACCATTTGAAATTTGTAAAGCTATGTGCACCACCTTCAAAATAAAAACATTTTTTCAGGAGAGTATGGATGACATGGACAGAAACTACTCCCAAGATGAAAGCACAGTTGCTTAGTTTGGACGATATAGACAGCGTTACTCCTGAAGAGGAATTTGACAGGTTTAAACAGCACATGCAGGTGGTGCAAGAGTGTCAATGTACAGCAAGGACATGCAGTTTTTGTTGCACCCCAGAAGGTTATGTGCCTGGTGTGTTCCTACTGTTTACATGATTCTCTACGAACATAAAGCACAAAAATTGCGAAATCATCCAGCACAAGTATGGACCGCTTATAACGTATGTCATTGCAGCCGTGAATATCCACACTATAATCAAAACAACCACTTTCAAGGGACGCAGTTGCACAAAGCCTGTTGAGTATGCAGCCTCGCGTGTTCAGAGAATTGAAGCATGCAGCGGCGAGCTGTACACATTGTCGGTGCCGCGAGGTTCTCGAGGCGCAGGCAGCCGTCTGCTCACGGCTCCTCCTCACCGACAAATGGAGAGAGGTGGTGCGGATAAGATGATGCCTACGTGAGGAGTGGGCTCAAGCATTGCGAGCGATGGAGAGGGCTGACACACGGCGAGCTCGTGACAGGCGGGGGAGAGATGTCACCGCGCACTGCTAAGAGAGCGTGACCTACTTGGCACCGCTCCAACACCTGTGGCGAGGGGAGCGGTGCGGAGGGAGGGACAGCGTTACACAGGCTAGTCAAAAAGCTGCTTCAAATCTAAGTACAGCTACTTCTATCACCATATTCATAGATTTATTGCAGGAAAACGAGACCAGACGTGGATAACTGACTTCATTTCTTAATGATGGGTGTGGTGTAGCTTGAAATGTAAATACACACGAACAGATCTTCCAGCACTTCCCATTGACATGTTGACTCATTGCACGTGCGCCGTGGCAGGTAGGTCTTCAACTCAACGAGCTTTATTTCGAAAAAATTTTGTAACCCTTCGAGCTGGCATTAACGAGATTGAACTGCAAATCCATATTAGCAACTGTCTACTTCACCTTTAAGTCTGGATATGGAAAGGGTCATGTTAGGACTGCCAGAAAGGAGGGGCTTATAACATATATGCACACACACCCCAGTCCAAACTTCTCACTTTATTCAGTTTCAGCATATAGATGTGCTTCATAATGTATTCTGTTCAAAATAATGATCTATAACAATCAAATCTACATGTATGTAGTTACCCCGTATTACATTCTATAGAAAAATACACAATCATTAAATATTATTGCGCTCTGTTGTGATTGACATTTATATTCAAAATTCCAGTCAATTTTATCACCCAGTGTCTGGGTGATATCACCCAGTAAATGTTACATCCTTTTTCTTGTGACTGTAAGGTTGGCATGTCAGCAAAATGATGAGACTCACCGATTTTTTCAGCTGCTAACTTCACAGGAATGCTTCCAATAACTGTGATGATTTCTGCCAATGAAGTGAGGTCATCTTGGCCACGGAAAAATGGATAACGGCCACTCAGCAAGGACAGAAATATGACACCTGCTGACCACATATCTACAGCTGGAAACATACAAAACAATAAGGCACAGAGAAAAATAATTATGCCAAAATGTTTCATGTACAAAAACACACACAGCACTATTAGGGCCAAGCACCAGCACTGTAGATAGTGTGATATGAAATGAGGGACTAGGTGACCAGATCTACCCCATCAGAAATATGACACCTGCTGACCACATATCTACAGCTGGAAACATACAAAACAATAAGGCACAGAGAAAAATAATTATGCCAAAATGTTTCATGTACCAAAACACACACAGCACTATTAGGGCCAAGCACCAGCACTGTAGATAGTGTGATATGAAATGAGAGACTAGGTGACCAGATCTACCCCATCAGATATAGTGAAGCCAGCAGAGATTTTACCAATACCAAAGATACCTTAGCCATACTTTGGTGCACAGCACAATATAACTAACAAGACATCAAAAGGAAAAAAAAAATGCTAGTAAAGGCATGTTTCTATGGACAACCAAGTTTCAAATTGCACAGCAAAAACACTTCAGCAACTCCAACGTGTTTGCACAATGATATCTATTAGAATTTTGTATGCTTGTATGTGGCAAACTAAGTACCACAGGACAGTGCAGATATGTGCATTAGATACAGGTATGGCACATTTGTGATTAACAAAATCAGTACTAGAAATAAAACATAACACTGAGATTTTGTCCTGTTCTCCATTACAAAGCCATATAACAAGCTTCAATTCAGGTGTATCTGTAATATACTGCTTCATTCATATTCATTTAATTAGTCATAAATTGCATTGACAGAGCAAAAAGGCCCGTTCAAATAGGTTATCGCCAAAGATGTGAATACTTAGATGCTAAATTACAATGTAATTGTAGCCATAAATTGAAATCAATAAGTGTTCTAACTTTTTTACTTTATGTTACATGTTTAAATTGTTCAATTCGGTAGCTGTGAAGCCTGCTTAACCATAATCCCATGACAAATGACAATGTTAACATATGAATTACAAGATGTCACACACACAATGTTCCGTTTCTACTCTTGTATAAGCCACACTTTTTTCCACCAGAACCTTCTACTGTGCGGGTTATGCACGATGATGATGTTTGGTGTTTTGTGGCGCAAGGGCCATTTCATGGCCAAAGAGCGCCAGTTTATGGTACTAGAGATATGGACAATGATTGTGATAAGTGGTTGTATAAGGGCCTTGAAATTCCTCGCGCTAAGGTGCGTCACAACATACAAGTGATAAAATCATGACCATGCCGTGAAAAGTGTGTGGTGTTAATGGATGACAAAAGTTTGTGATGATAAAAACCATGGTGGACATCTATGGCATTAGCACAAGTGCCTCTATCGTTCACACCCTTGCGTCCAAGGGCCGTGAGGCAAGTGCTTTGTTCAGTGTGCCTTCGTGCCCCTCTAGTTGCCACTCTCCCCGGCCGCTTTTTCTTACGCACCCTTCCGTTTTTTGTCCACCCACTACTCTGAGCACCCTGCATCGCCAGACACGGGCCGTGTTTTCACACTGCCACCCATCTTTCAAAGAACGGTCGGCCATCTTTCCTGTTTTTGATCGCTGGTACTATCGTTGGTGTCGCCCGCCGGCTGTATCCGATCATCTACGTCTAGTGCATGCACTTACGCTACCCCACCAACTCTGATAATTTGCGATTCAATTAGTGTTTAGGACTTGTTCTTGCTCACTTCGCACTCGGCTCAGCATGCCCTCAACACGCGTGTGGAAGAGCGAAAGCGGCTGTTGATTTGCGCGGAAAGAATCACGAAATATCGAAGTTAGTGATGCCCTGCAAACCTGCCAGCGCAACAAAGCGATTTTTTTTAACACTGCGGCGCGCACTGATACAGGCGGCCGTGCTTTGACTTTTGCGCGCGGAGGCACTCTCTCAAGTTTTTTTACATGCCAGTTGCACGTTTCACAGACCTTCAAGCAAGCTACCCAACCTGCCTCCTTCCCGTGTGTTCTGGTTTTCAAGGTCCCCTCCCGCCACATTCTTCCTACTCTTCTCTGTATCGACACTCCTTGCCATTATCTCGCAAATCTGCTCTCCTATCTTGATCACAACCCCTTCGCCTGTCTCCAACGCTCCGCGATGCCAGCCACGTAGGCTCGAATTAGTTTCCTTTTATTGACTAGAAATGGGCCCAGAGCTGTTCCACGCGTTCTGGCATCTGTGTCGCGTGTGCGCGTCTTGCTCACTCTCGGTGTGCGTGTGCACACTCTCGGTGTGCTCGGTTTGCGTGTGGTCAGGATGGCAGACGGGAGGACTTGCACCCTTTTTCCTGCCGCTCAACAAAACATCGAAAGTGTGACCGTTTGGCTTGAGCATAATCCACATGCTAGGTGCCGTGTTGCGAAGCGCTTGCTCATAGCTGTTGACTACCTGGCAGCCAACTTGCTGCTTCGGGCGTCCCGGTATTCAGCTGTGGAGATGGTGAATATTTCGTGGGCGGCGGTGACGGCTACATGCGTGCGAAACTGTTTTCGGGAGGCCGACTTTGTTGACGTTAGGCCCGATGCTGAGCCTGAAGCTTCCGAACTGCGGCGGTGATTTGTGGCACCGCGTCGTCGACTCCGACCTGGGAGTGCGGGTGGGACATCTGTGGCAGTGGTTTAATTATGGCTGATGATAATGCCGACACTGCGGAACCATGCAAGGATTAGGGCATTGTGAATGAAGTACGTGGCAAGAGCAATTTTGAGGAATCGGACTGCGAGAACGATGAAACTTTGGAGCCAGTGCCTTATGCTGCTTATGCCATGGGCCTCGGCGAACGAACACCCTGCCGTTTTAAATGAACTCGAGACCCCCTTTATCGTTTCTGCTTTTCAAAACACGTGTATCACAGACTTTTTGGGAAAAAAAAGTGTGTTTTCACTCGCACCTTTTTTAATAAAAGCTGGGTTTCATTTACTACGAACTTCGGGATACAGGGAACGTATGCCGTGTCAGGTTCAGGTTCGGTATAAGCCGGCTTGACTGTAGTTCTGGGAAGTATACCTGAATATGTGCAATCTGTGCACGCTTCATAACCTCCAAGAAGAACACGTCGCAATCTATTGCCTGCCACTGCCATGTTGGCGGGAGCATACTGCGGGAGCCATCAAACGGTGTTCAAGTGGCACACCGGTTTTCTTCACTAGGCCCCTCATACAGAGTGAGTAGGGCTGTCTCATAGAAGGCCGTTTCTCAAACACAGCAAGGCTTGACATGTCATTATGTGGAATGTGTTGGGCGATCCTTGTTTGAGTTTTCATTAAGATAATATTTAAAAAACATGTAACATCTCTAGGTGGAGCGACCATTCGTTTGATTCCACGTACAGGCTTTCCACGGGGCTAGTGCGAAAAGCACCCGCAAGAGAGGCGGATGCCTAGATGAACAGGATCAAGCATTTTAAGGGCAGTAGGCGTCGCAGACTGATATGCTATTGCCCCATAGTCTAGGCGGGTACGTACGAGGCTTTTATATCAATTTATTAGACACTTCTTGTCACTTTTTACGTAGTGCGTGACAACACCTTTAGAACGTTCATGGCTTTGACACCCTTGTTTTTTAAATACTTGATGTGTGGTATCAAGGTTAGCTTGGTGTCCAAGATTAGGCCTAAGAATTGGTGTTCAGCATTAACAGAAAGACGTTGCCCATGCAGTTGAATATTGGGTTCAAAACAAATACCTCTTTTCCTGGAGAACAAGGCACACGTGCTTTTCTGTGCATTCAGTCATAACCCGTTTTCTTCTGCCCAATTAGAGACTTAATTCAAACCAAGCTGAACCTGCCTCTAACACATGGCCAGATTGCAAGATCTAAAGCCAAGCTGGACGTCGTCGACATATGTACAATAACACATATTGCGAGGAATGGACAAGCGTAAAGAATTCGTTTTGATAATAAAGAGTGTGCAACTAAGTACACCACCTTGCAGCACGCCTGTTTCTTGGACAAATGTTTGGGAAAGAACGCTGCCTACTTGAACGCGGAATGTCCGGTTTGACAAGTAACTTCAGATTATAGCAAACATTCTGCCACGCACGCCAAAAGGGGGGCAGGTCTTGATTGATATGTGGGGTTTACCGTCCCAAAACCACCATGTGATTATGAGAGACGCCGTAGTGGGGGGCTCCAGAAATTTCAACCACCTGGGGTTCTTTAACGTGCACCCAAATCTGAGCACACGGGCCTACAACATTTCCGCCTCCATCAGAAATGCAGCCACCGCAGCCGGGATTTGAACCCGCGACCTGCGGGTCAGCAGCCGAGTACCTTAGCCACTAGACCACCGCGGTGGGGCAAGGGGGGCAGGTCTCTTAATATTCCAAAGCACCATGTTGTATTACAGTCAAGCCCGCTTATAACGAACCTGAGGATGACGCGGCATTCGTTCGCTGTATCCCGAAGTTCGTAGTAAATGAAACACAGCTTTTAAAAAAGTTGCGAGTGAAAACACAAACTTTTTTTGCCCAAAAAAGTCCGTGATGCACGTCTTTCCAAGAGCAGAAGCGACAAGGGCGGTCTCGAGTTCATTTAAAACAGCAGGGCGCTCGTTCACAGAGGCCTGTGGCATAAGCTGCATAAGGCACTGGCTCCAAAGTTTCGTCCTCACAATCAGATTCTTCCAAATCGCTCTCGCCTCGTACTTCATACGGTTCCGCATTGTTGGCATCATCATCGGCCGTAATTAAACCATCGCAACAGATGTCCCACCCGCTCCCCCAGGTCGTAGTCGACGACACACTGCCACAAATCGCTGCCGGAGTGATCCTGTTCGGAAGCTTCAGGCTCGGCATCGAGCCAGACGTCGACAAAGCCGGCCTCGCAAAAACAGTTTTGCGCGCATGTAGCCGTCACTGCCGCCCACGAAATATTCACCATCTCCACAGCTGAATACCAGGACCCCCAAAGCGGCAAGTTGGCTGCCAGGTGGTGAACAGCTATGAGCAAGCGCTCCGCAACGCGGCACCTAATGCGCGGATTACGCTCAAGCCAAGCGGTCAC